TACAAACATTATGGTTACACTTTATGTCTTTGCCTCATACATAGTGGCTATAGTTTTCTGAACCTTCCCATATATTCAGGAATATAATGTAGGAGGAGCACCAAAACATTAATTCAGGTCTGATTTTGTTAAATCATAGCGTTGTTAAGGTTATACTGGATTATTTTCATGAGCTCTGACTCTTTTTAAAGCAGAAATTAAGAAGAAATGTGAACTTGTTAGAGAAGCTTGTTATGCAAGAGAATTTGTCATGTTTAGTGGTCAATCTATACCCAGGAAATGAGGGATATTCTCTGATGCTCAGGGGAAAAAATGGATCAGGTAAGACCCTCCAAAATACAACTGTCACAAAATACCTCTGCCAGGCAGGATGTTCTGTTTTTTAAAAGTAGTTTTTTAGCCTGTTAAACTGTTTGTCCTTTGGATTAAAGATGACTTGGCAGTAAAAGCAGATTTTGATCCCAAATTTTCCTCTTTATGATATATTTTATTAGAATATTAGAAATTATCACTAATACGGTTATCCTTCCTGAACATGCATTTGAAAAGTATTCTAATTGATATGTCTTTGAAGTTAAATTATGAAAGGTATAACTTTTAAGTGATTGTTAAAATTTCCTTTCATTCTATTGCTGTTTATTTTTTAAGATAGTATAAGGTATTTTAAGGTATGTTTTTCCTTCTGCATTTTAAATACACTCTGAGTCTGAAACCTTCAAAATTAAGCACACTCACTGCCTTTTGAGTAACTTTTGTATATTAAAAGTATTTCTATTAATGTAAATAGAGTCTTAAAATATACTCAGATTTCACTAAAGAGGCATCTAAAACTTTGATATAATATGAATTCTACAAGGAACGCTCCTAGTTAAGAGCTTTTTCTTATGTTGATAATTAATTGTAAAGTGTTAACACCAAGAGAATTTTGTTCTAAAAGCGACCATTTTTCAGATGAGGTACTAAATTATCACTCTGATATCCAGATTAATCAGTCTTCAACAAACCTTTAGTTACTTTGATACTGGAATTTTATTATATCATATTCTGATTATTTTGCTTCTGGCTGTGATTTGGATTGTGATGTTATGCCACATGTTTTTCTATATATGTTAGGATTTTTTCACTCTCTTATTTACAATTTTATACATTTAAGTCATTTAGCAATATATAATGTGATTCATTTGTAAGACTTAGATAAAGAAGGACATTAGGAGAGCCTTTTGGTTTTAATATATTTTTTATGAAGAGTCATGTAAATTATACAGCTAAGCTTTTCAGTTAGTCTTATCTTTTTTTAAACTTTATGTTTTAAAATTAAGATTCTGAGACCATTCGACTGCCTTATGAAGAAGGGGAATTGCTTGAATACCTGGATGCAGAAGAATTACCTCCTATTTTGGTTGATCTCTTAGAAAAATCTCAGGTACAAAATTTTTCTCTTTAAAATGTCCTTACAGGCC